TGTACTTTAGGTCGTTTCCCGGCGGCGCATTCGCTTGATACCACCGGCGTGAGGGAGCTGGTTCTTGACGTCTCTGTAAATGCAAGTAGGAAACTGTTCCTACTTGCATTGCTCGATAGGTTATTTTAATTATTTTATTCGGTCGAAATAGCACTAGGGGTATATCCAATCCAAAATCAATTTGGATGGATTGGATGGACCAACAAGACATATTGGATTGAACCAATCCAGTTCAAAATATTTATTAGATTGGATTGGACCTGGTCCATCCATAATAAATTTATATTGGGTTGTGTTGGATTAAGCCAATATCTGGTTCATTGATATAAGATAAGAATATAGGTGTTAATAGACCAGGTTTGGGTTGAAACCAATCTAAATTAAAACAAATTTGAACATATTAGACTAAACATTGAATTGGACCAGTAAAAAATGGTCCAAAATATTCATTGGATTAAATTGAACCTGGTCCATTTGTAATGGACTCACATTGGACTGAATCGGATTGGACCAAATCCAGGTTCAATCTAATCTCTTGTAATCTCACCTGAAAATCTCCAACCCATAGACTCACCTAAAATCTCTTGTAATCTCATCTTCGGCACTTGAGACTATATTCCACCACCATCACGCCTACAATTCAAGCCAGGGGTCCAAAAGGAGTCCATTGGATCCTCTCCTCATTATAGATTTATAGAAACATTGATGTTGATAAAGTTCTGTCAACTTCTACATTATGTATTTGAATGGAAGATTTCTATAAGGGAATTGGGATCTGCTCCTCATAGAGTGCGCCTCACACCGATCTCACAACCACATCTGATCTTGTACTGAGAACATCTCCCTATGAATAATAAATACAAGTATGCGAGATTTTCCAGATGTGAGGCCAAGACATACTGTGAGGTTAGTGTGAGGCACCCTCTGTGAGGAGTAGATCCAGACTCTCTATAAGGTATTATTGGTTGGGGAAGGGGCAGTTCTGGAATATTAGGTTCAACGCAGGCAAATTTAAAAGTCCCAACTCCCACATGTGATGACTGACAAGTGCGGAATTTGAATTCTTCATCTCCAAAGAAGAAGAAGAAAGGTGACAGTAATGGTTTTGGGGTGAGGTAGTGATGCAAATGGATCGGATCGGATTCAAATCAGGGCATATTTGAATCCGATCCGACAATGTTGATGTTGGATTTGATCCAATATTGTTCATGTTGAATCCGATCTGATCGGATCTGATAGGACTCGATTTGAATTAGAATCCTATCAACAGGTCGGATCTTTGGATATGATCCAACCTAACTTATTTTTTTTTAAATTAATAAATTATTAAAAGAAAATTAAAATATACTAATTTAAATAAAGTAAAAACAAAAATATAACTATTTTTTAATTATTTTCATCATATATACATTTTTTATAAAAAATAAATAATATAACAAATTTATAAAAAATATAATATAAAAATATTTATAAATAAATAAATAACATATACTATATATTTATATTTATAAATATAATATATATATCAGATTCAGATCTTCTTGGATCGGATAAGGGGTGATCCGAACATGATCCGATCCAATCCAAAGATCCAATTAGGGGTGATTCGAATTCGACCAAATAGGATTGGATCTTGAATTAGATCAGATTATGATCCGATCCATTTGCACCTGTAGGGTGAGGCATGCTAGCCATCGCTAGGGTCACATTAAAAAGACTCATATGGGTGTCTAGGACAGTTGGTGTCTAAGGGTTGGTAGAATTAAAGGTCCATTTAATTCATAATCGGAATCAAAATGGTCGGATCTCATAACCTGTTTAGTTAAAATAGTAGGAACCAAAACTAAAAATTAGAATAAACTAAAATGAGATCTCATTGCCAAGGGAGGGGAGGAAACGATTCCCTCAAAAGAGGGATGCCATTACACAAGAATGGCCAAATGAGAATGGAATCCAATTCCATCAAAGAAACAGTTGAAATCAAAATGAACCATTACAAATTTACAATTCTGAGTCTAAACCTCTATTCTTACGAACCAAACAGACCCTAAGTTAATAAGAAAACCTTATTGCAATGGCCAGATGGTTTTTTTTGTTTGTTGGATCATTAAAAATGTTGACTTAAAGTCAAACTGATTTACCTCATTTACACATGTGTTTGATGTGTCATACCCTCCAATCTCTCTTTATTTAATACTGATGTAAGCTTACTTTGATTTAAAATAGCTTTAAACTATAATCCGATACCATTTTTAAATTAACTTATATTTTTATTATTTTAAAATTTTTGTTTGAATGCATCAAATAATTGAACCTGATGGTAAAACCATTCAGTCGTGACGAGCACCAACATATTTGTTTATTCTTCCAAAACAAAAATAATTGCTATTTTAGCAAAGTTAAGAATAGACAAAGGTGATGTTTAGTTTAGTTGTTTACTATTAATTCTCCCAAACCAGAAAGGGTATATTGGCTTCTAGTTGGGTATTTTTTGAATTTATAAAATTTATGAAAGTCATGTCATGGCATTCAACGAAATTTAAGCCAGGCAATATATGTGATAAGAAATGTTTTAGCATATTTGTGATTTTTTTTCCCATGTTAAAATGCATTTGCTATTATCTCTGTTGTAGTATTTCCCTGTAAACATAAAATGTGAATACACTACTAATTTATTATTTTTGTTTTGAGTACAAAATATCATATAATTTGTTACTTGATTTACTCCGGGGTGTTCGCTTTGTATTGTGGGTAGGGTTATTTGAGCTGGGCTTTGTCTATAAAACTCTAGTTCAGCTTCAGTCAGGGCAAATTTTGTTCGAACAGCTTTTACTGTCTTGTATTAAGAATATCTCTATACTTATATGCTTTATTTTATGGGAAGATATTTTTAATGTAAGATTGGAAAAGGCTGTTAGAACGGTATAGGCATGAATTTACCTTGACTGAAGCCGGTCTCATAAAACTCATGTCTGACCTAAATCTGGGTTGGGATTGGATAATTCAATTCCAATATAACTCAAGTCCATCCAAGCAAATACATTCTATACATGTATATTCTCAGGTAGATTAAGAATTTACATCTACACCCCACATAGGGTGGCCCAGTGGCACACCACATGCACATCTGAGCGTGCATTGGGCCGGAAATGTTCCCAATGGACGGTTTGGATGTGTTGTGAGGCACCAGTGGGGTGCCAATGTGATCTCATAGATCAATAGATGCCAGTACTTTCAGGGTACGTGCAAATATTTATGTAGGGAGAGGATCCAGTATTGCACTGCTAAGAGATCGGATCTGCTACTCACAAGTCTCACATAGGGCATCTCACACTGACCTCATAGGCACATATCATTATGCATTGGAAACATATTCTGTATTTATTTATTATTATTTACGGGAGATATTCTCAATGTATGGTAGGATGTGCCTATGAGGTGGTTGTGACTTGTGAGGTGCCCTGAGGAAATAGATCCCAGTTCATATTAGAGAGAGATGAGATGAGAGGGACGGGGAATACCTCCGGTGTGTTTGTTGGAGTGATTGTCTTTGCCGGAGTTCTCACCATTGGTTCGGATGGAGGAATGCAAGGGTCAAGAGATGAGGCCAGGTCAAGAGTTGAGAGTAGCGGGAATTTGGAGCTAACAGGACGAGATAACGTCCGTCCTGTTAGTTCCACACGCGCTGAGGGAGAAATCGTGTGGAAGGACACTTGACACCTTCAGATTGTGTGGGGCGCAGATCCCGCTTCAGATTTGAATTGCTGATTTTTTTTTTTCAATACAAAACACAGAAGGGAAGGAGATCACCGGCGACCACCTGACCATTATACAGGTTCGGTTTTTCCCTATCCATTCTCATCTAATTTTTTATTGCATCAAAATTTGGATTTTCTAATAAAAATAGAAAAAGTGAATTCTATGTAAAAACACCTACATTCAAAATTAAGAATATCCATATTCAATGAACGCCTCAAATTTTGTTCTTTTTCTACTGTTAAAATAAGATGAATCTTATTTTGTGCAAAAAAAAGAACACCCATATCCAATACTCCGACTCGCATAGATCAATTGACGCTCACCTACATTGGCAATGGAACCAGAGCCTGGCGAGAGAACTCTCACTAGGGAACACCAGATCATTCTCCTCCGAAGCAAGCGCTTCCCCGAGGATTACAGCATGCGAATGCGAGATCTTCCTGACGCTGGATAATGGAACCGCCAAGGATTCAACATACCAGAGATAGTTCGACGTCTTTAGTTTCTTGGCCCCGTCCGGCGTGGCCAACAAAAACAAAAAGTTCCTCCCGGGAGCAGAAGAAGAAAAAGAGCGATTGATGAACAGAATGTTGGAGGAGAGAAGTGGAGACTACTGGCAAACGGGGAATACCTCCGGTGTGTCTGCCGGAACGGTCATCATCGCCGAAGTTTTGCGTTAGCTCGGATGTAGGAGTGCAGGGGTCAAAGTTAGATAGAGGAGGCCGGTTCCGGATCTCATGGCCACATGAACTCTGTTTACGTTATACTAGATAGAGATGTTCTCTATATCGACTGCGATATTATGTGGGTAGACGTGAATAGAATTTGTATGGGCAGGAGATCAGAGAGGCCAGGTCGAATCGAGAGTAGCGGGAATTTGGAGCTAACAGCCGTCCCGTTAGCTCCACGCATGCTGAGGGAGGAAATGTTGCGAGAGAACACTTGGCGCCTTCCAATTGTGTGGGGTGTTTGTGGGGCGCCCTGTTGTGAGGCGCAGATTTGAAATCCTCTACAATCCGAGTTCCATTTTGCTACTACATGGTTACAGCGCAGGGATAAAACCGCGAATCGTGGCTTTCAAAAGATATCTGTGGCCCCACCGCGACGTTACTTCGTCTAATTCAAAGTGGGGCCACAACATTATCGATGGCTTTGATTTCCCAAAAGGAAAACCTTGTTTCAGGAATTTCCACTCGCTAAATTGTTATCCCGCCAAAACCGATTCTCGTAGATTATTATTTCGTTCTCCCACCTGAACGTCTTCCTCGCTTGTTTTGACTGGTAGATTTTAGCCTTCCGTCTTTCTTTCAGTTTACAGAGATGAAAACGTATGAAGCTTTCTTCTTAAATGGATTATCTTCTATGCCATGGAAAATGTTACTGATGATCGAAAAGAGGAAATTTTCTCGAATGACGACGAACAGAATCTTCGTGACCAGCTTCGAGAATCGCAGATCCGAAATGATGCTCTTCTCAATGAATTGGAAGCTCTTCAGATTTCGTATCGTGATCTTCAATCAAGATCCGTGGTTATGGAGGATAACTTGATCCTCCTTCAACAGCAGAAAGAGGAAGCTCTAAAACACAACTTCGATCTCGTTAATTCTCTCGAGCAAACCTCAAGCGAAAAAGACGCTCTCCAGAGCGAACTTCGTTTATTAGAGGTCTCTACGAGAGAACATCAAGATGAATTGATGAGACAACGGGACGAGGAATTGAAGGGGAATTTGGATCTTCGGAACGAAGTTGAAGTTTGTCGAGAGAAGATTTCTGTATTGCTAGAGGAAAGGAGCAAGCGAATTCAGATTTTTTCTCGAAGTATGGATTTTCTTCTCTCAGTTAAAGAGTGCTTGATGAGGATCATCGAGAGAATCGGTGAACAAAAGCCAGAGAGTGTTATTGAAGAAGGAGAAGAAGAAGAGCAGATAAAAGAAGAGGCTGATTTGGACGAGGAATCAAAGGGTCTTTTATCAGAAAAAATGGTGGTTCATAAACTTACGATGTCGGTGGAATCGAGGTTAACAGAGTTCGAAGAAATGAGGAAGAAGGAGAAAAGGCAGTTGGAGAATAGTATCGTGAGTTTGACTGAAGAAAACAGAGACATTAATAGCTTGCTCAGGATTGCTCTAGTGGAGAAGGAATCAGTTGAAAGGGCTCTTAATAGACTGAAAGGAAGTGGTGAACAGAGAAGAGTGGCAATTCTTCAAATTGCAGAGAGAGGGTTGCAGAAAGTTGGATTTGGGTTCATGATGGGTGCTTCAACCGGTGATTCAACAGATAATTCTGGTCCTAACACATGCAATAAATCAGACAGTAGTGAATGCGAAGAGGAGGTTGTTAGTCTGGTATGGTTCTATTACTTTTGTTCCTACAGTTCAAATTTCTAGATACTGCATATTACTTTATTTTTGATCGGCTAAACTAATCTTCATGACTCGATTCCTTATCAGAAAACAATTCTTCAAACATACTTGAAATTTGGAATATGGTTGAATTTCATTATTATTCTGACATGAATTTAAATTGCCGCCATTATTTGTCTGTGTTTTGTGCACATTGTAATTTGGCAATGGACGCATGTGTGTTTTTCTTTAACATGTTTAGCTCTTGTTGGATCCTTTGAGCGGAGGTTCTCTGTTTAGAGTTTGATATTATTCATCATCCATTGGAATTGGGACGCCACATAACTAACTGACAAAATTCTCTTCACCAGTGTGACTTTATTTTTTGTTTTAATTTCTAAACAAGTTATATTGCCTTTACAAAATTATTTCTATCATAAGCGAATGCTTTGGAGATGCTATCTTTGCCTAACCATCTGCTATGGCATTATTAGTTCAAATTTTAGGCCTTTAAATTATCCATGGTGTTATCCGTGCTATCCAAGATGCTAGTAAACCAACAAATGATGTTAGCAAAGTTTCCTTAAACTAGAGAATGACTGTCAATAAATTCATTGAAGATATCTAATTCATTAGAGTGTAATTGTTTCAAACTCATTGGAGTTGTTGTTAGACAGCGTATGCTCTCAGCTCCAACATGAGTGATGTAAACGGATATTTGTTATTGAATAAATTCAAGTCATTATTATTTCATGTGTATATGATATGTTTCTGTGCAATACCCCTTAAGTTGGACATTTATGAAACTTATGTTACCTTCAAATGTTCTCTACCAATTGATAAACTTGAGGAGTTTATCATGCCAAGGCTGACGCTCTTGTATTGCCAAAATGGTGGAACAGTTTGTCTCAATTGCTCGGGCTAGACCTGAGGTTACAATGAGTAGGTGATTGAGAAACACTGAATGGGACCATTTCCAGTTAAACCCTAGACGCTGGAGACATAGGGGTAAAACTAGAAAATTATATTTAATCCCCTGACTTGATAATGATACTACACTAGGTGTTGGACTGATTTGCTTTTGATGTGCCAATTAGTGAGATCCTTTTAGGTTCAAATACCTGGGTATGGTGAATTGAATTGGAAAGATGCTTTAGTGAATGATCATTGTGATAGGATCAGTCACTTTGTCGAGCAAAAAGAACATCTTAGTTACACTCTTTTTGATGGAAACCCAAAACTACTAATAGTGGATTTCATTTTGTTTTGAAATTGGTTTTGTAAAATGTATTTATATTTATAAATAGTTTATTTTGATAAAGAGTTTGCAAATGATTTTAATCTTGGGATCCATTATGAGTAGAGGTGTAAATCGGGTCGTGCCGCCCGTGGCCCGCGGGCTGGCACGGCCCATATATATTTTATATATATTTGTATATACTATATATATCTATATATATTTTATACATACTATAATTATATAATAATATATAGTATATAATATATTAATAAATTAAACATTTTTTAATTTTATTATACTAATTTATTTAATTATTGCATATATAAGCAATTTTATACACAAAATTCATATAAAATTAAAATTTTAAGTTTTTTGTCAATTTTTTTAAATAAATAGCTTTGGCCTGATACACAGCCCGACCTAGCCCAAGGCTTGGCCCATGGGCCCGGGCTGTGGGCCGGGCCGACCCTTAAATTTTTCACCGGGGAGGGCGGCACGGCTTGTGATGGCCTAGCACGGCCCACTTTACACCTCTAATTATGAGTAGAGGGTGTAGCACTGCATTTGGTAGTTAGGGAAGAGGTCCTTCCTTATGGTGGTGAATCAATTTTTAGGATCCATTATGAGCTTTTATGCTTTCTGCCATTCCCTAGTGTCTCAATGATCATTCTCGCATTGCACAACTTCATCTACTTCCTTTTGGTTTTCTTGAATGATGCAGGAGCTGAAGAGTCAAAATTGGAATTTTATGAAATGTTATGTATTTCTGTATTTTTGGACAGTAGGGGGTATTTTTGTCATTTTGCAATTTCTGTGGGGTCCAATGATAGGGTTTAATTTTTCTAGTTATAGTTTTCTTATGTTTAAAATTTCAGAGTCATTGCATAAGTAGGATTAGAGTTATTGAGTCTTCTTTGAATTGAAATAGGATATGACAGCTTAGATTGAGTCCTACTAGGATTATCAAGTCTAACAGTTTGACTCCTAAGACTATTATGAGTCTAACAGTTTGACTCCTAGGGTTATTATGAGTTTAGAGTCTATAAATATGTATAGGCGTTTTACACAATGGCAATGAATTATATTGAGTTTTCTTCAGCTTATGCTAGCTATGGTGAGTGATTCCCATGCCCTAGAGTGATTCTAGGCTCCCTGTGAGTGATTCCAGGCGTTTTCTTTTCAACTTTGTACTTTCTTCCCTTGACTTCAAGTTCTTTGTTGTCACCTGCCGCTTCTTCTTTTGCTCGAAATTAGTCAACTCCATAAATAGATCATCATGAAAGTCTAGTGGGATGTACTTTTCTTGCAAACACCTCTTCATCTCTGCCCATGTACTAATTGGATCATTGCCTCTATTTTCTAGTCATTGATCAAGAGTTCTCCTTCTCCACCATACTTTAGCATGACCTGTCATCTATTTTCTTTTCAGCTTTGTACCTTCTTCCCACTGACTTCAAGTTCTTTATTGTAACCTGCCGCTTCTTCTTTTGCTCGAAATTAGTCAACTCCATATATAGATCATCATGAAAGTCTAGTGGGATGTACTTTTTTTGCGAACACCTCTTCATCTCTGCCCATGTACTAATTGGATCATTGCTTCTATTTTCTAGTCGTTTCTCAAGAGTTCTCCACCATACTTTAGCATGACCCGTCAGCTTCGTGCGCACAAATCTAATCCTTTGTTTGTCAAGCATATCATGCCAATCAAAATATTCTTCTAGTTCAGCAACCCAATCAAAGAATGCTTGCGGGTCATCATCTCCTTTGAAATCTGGTATTTCCCTTTCTCTTCTAACATGTTTGAAAACCTTGCTCCCATAGGCAACATTATTAGATCTGTTTTATTCCACCATCTTCTCAAATAAGTCAACTAAAGACCCTTCATATGGTTTAGAAACCCAATCATCATTGATTCTAGACCTGTAAGATTGTCTAGAAGATACCCTAGGCCTATAGAATCAGTCACTTTGTGAGAACATAGTGAATAAACCATTAGCTCTGATACCAACTGATGTAGGACCATCTCAGTTCTAGTCCTTAGGGAATGTGAATGGTCTTCTTGGATCAGAATTTTATGGCCGTTGATGGCTGTAATGGTTTCTTGAAGGAATAAGAGAGAAAATAGGGAGAGAAGAGAGAAAATACCTAGAATCACTCACAGGGTGCCTAGAATCACTCTAGGACATGGGAATCACTCACCATAGCTAGCATAAGCTGAAGAAAACTCAATATAATTCATTGCCTTTGTGTAAAACGCCCAAACATATTTATAGACTCTAAACTCATAATAACCCTAGGAGTCAAACTGTTAGACTTGATAATCCTAGTAGGACTCAAACTAAGCTGCCATATCCTATTTCAATTCAATGAAAACTCAATAACTTTAATCCCATTTATGCAATGACTCTGAAATTTTAAACATAAACAAACTATGAGTATACAAATTAAACCCTATCAATGGACCCCACAAAAATTGCAAAATGACAAAAATACCGCCTACTGTGCAAAAATACATAAAATTCCAATTTTGACTCTTCAGCTCCTGCATCACTGAATGTAAGGGGAGTTGTATTTTTTGCCTCATCCATAATTCATACTCTTCAAAGTATCATATTTGAAAGGAGTGCAGTTTATGGTGATAAAATCCAATCTTAGTAAGAACAACTTTCTGTTTTTGTGAACTTTAGAGTTGATAGCATAATTATCTGAAGAAGTTTCATTTCAATGGACAGCAATTTGGTTTCATGTTTCTGGTTATTCTGTGCAGGCTTCAACTGTAGAGAAGATAATGAAGAATTTACGGCTGGAAATCACTGAATTAAAGAGATCCTTGGATGAATCTAGGTATTTTTTTTCCTCTGATTAGCAGAGTCTACAGTTACTGCCATACTACCATGTGTGTTTCTTGTGGCTTTCCTGTTGTTTAGGACATACTGGGAACTGAAGAATGCACCCAAAAAAAAACTGGAGAATGCGAAATAAAAGATGAACTGGTGTAGGCACAAGATGTCTATACAAATCCAATTCCAACTTGTATGCTGTACTAAAATATTATTATATTTCTAATGGTTTTCTATCAACTATTTTAATAACTTCAATAGTTTCTGGCCTTCTGTTAGAAACTTTTCAACTTTGGATGCATCAAGCATATATGCCTGTTTTAATTTTAGTAAATTCTTGTGTTTGTCTTTGATTACAATGCAACCTAACCTTTAGAATTACCTTTGTACTGTTTTGTTTATAGTCAGTCAATTCATTTTATTCTGTACTTCTAGAATGATAGGAAATATATCTAACAGTCACTATTTGGATGGTATCATGGAAGAAGTATATTATATATGATGAATTTGTAGTTTAAACAATGAATTATCCATCCACAACTTTGGAATATCTATTCATATCTTCTCTTGATGCCCAAGCTCTTTATATGGCATTTTTTTGGTAATCTTTATATGGCAATTTGAGTGGTGGATGGTCTATTGCCTTGAATTGAAGTTCTGTACACAGTAACCTTTAGATGAAAACATTGACCATGAGTTTGTTTATGACTAGAACTTTTTTTACTAGACCACATAAGCTTTTAGTTGATCAAGTTGATTGACAGTCAGAAATATTAGTTGACCATCACAGATTCATTTGTGAGGTTCTATCTATTTAGTTATTGGTTTTAAGTATCTATCCTATGGCAGGTCAGACTCTGAGCGTCTACAGAGTCTTACAGAGAAACAAGCTCAGGAAATTGCAGAGAACAAGTTGTACATACAAGAGTTGGAAGAAAGAGAGAGTAGGCTGGCCCAAAATGTAATTATGTGTTCCGTTTATGGGAGTGTTTTTTCCCTGTTGCTCTCTATCAACCATGCTCTACTAACATTTCCTTCCTTTTTGATCTCTTCTTTTTGCTGTTTCTGCCTGTAAGGTTGAAGAGCTCATGATGGAAATAACAGAATCTGAAGAGGAGGTTTCTAGATGGAGGGAAGCTTGTGAATTGGAAGTGGAAGCTGGGAACAATGCCATTGAAGAGCGTGATAGAGAGGTAAAGATAAACTTATTAACTGCTCTTTGCTAGTGTCTTTAGACTTTCAGTTTTATTGCTTCCTATTTATTTCAATGGTTGGAACTCGTAGTTGTAACTTGTATTGATATGGAGAAAGCGAAATTGAAATCATGACCAGTCACCAGTTCACCGGTCCGAGGGTTAAAATGGGGTGAAACATTGCTCTTACCATTTATTAAATAAATTCTCCACCGGTGGAACATTGCCAATTTACCATTAGAACTTGTTCATTCTGTATGGAGAATTTGATTTGAGATCATATACGAGGAACATAATACAACTACTATTTCTTTTCCTAGGCATGATTTTAAAAATTTGGATATTCTATCCCATGGAAAAAAGAGAAGGCCAAAATGAAAAATAACGCTTTCATTTATGGATGCAGATAAAGGTGCTTTCAAAAATCTGTATTTTGATGCTTCGACTTTGTTCAACATGTATACAAAAAAGCACAGTTTCTGAATTCCGAATGATGTTCCTAAAACGAATAATGTTTCATTTATTCAGATTAATACCAGAGTGCTATTTCCTTTCTGACTTCTCAGTCATTCTCTTCTTGATTTCATATTTTGGATTTTACGGCAATGGGAATTTAAAATAAAAAAAAAATGTTTTATTGATTTTATCAGTTGCTTCTGTTCTATACCAGGCTGCAAATCTCAGGGAAGAGCTGGAGAAGACAAAGGCCTCTTTGGAATTGTGTAACAGCAAGTTAAAACTAAAAGAAGATCTTGCTACTGCAGCCATGACTGCACAGGCAGCAGCTGAAAGGTCTCTCCAGCTAGCGGACAGCAGAGCTGCAGGATTTCGTGAGCGGATTGAGGAACTGACAAGGCAGCTAGAAGAGGCCGAAAACAAAAGGGAGCGAAGTAGCCGACGTAAGGTGAGGCGTATCTGTTGGCCATGGCGAGCCCTCAAGGTGAACCCTAGTACGAGAGGTCGGAGTGTTAGACGGATGATACCAGAAATGGAAGCCTTGCTTAACCACGACATCTGATCTGATGATATGATATTGCTCGGTTGTTTTTTCTTTTTTGGGCTGAAGCTGATTATTTGCCTCTGCCCTTTTTTTAAGAAAAAAAAATTGCGTTTTTTACATGTTACCTTACACGGAGTGGAGAATTTGCTTCCTTTCAATGCAATGATTTAATGCAGTTGAAAGATTTACCTACGGCTACGGGGCTTTCAAGAAGTGGAGAGTGTGCTCCCGTTCACTTTCCAACTGAACTTATCCTTGGCCCTTTTTCTGATACGTAGGGGGAGAAACTCCCAGCAAAATCAAGAAAAACAAGTCCCAGGGAAGCTGAAGGAAGCTTCACCATCTAGACATCTATCGGCCAGCCAATCCACTGCACAGTTAGGAAAGTGTGATTGTACATTTGTTACTTGATCGAAAGCTGCAAATCACGAGCTAGTCTTTTGCAATCTGAGACAATAAGAGCACCTTCATAGGAATTGTAAATTTGTAATGTTGGGAATTGGGTTTCTAGTTTTTGGGCTTTAAGGGCAGCCCACATCTCTGGTACAGTGATTCTTGTAAATGCAGGCCCATTTTCGCATATAATTTTAGGTTGTGTTTGGTTTAAAGGAAAAAGTAAGAAAAGGAAGGAAAAGGCAGAGAAACCTATACAAGATTTGTGAAGGTTTTCTGCCTTTTCTTTCAAACCAAACATAGCCTTAGAGTTTCAGACTTTTTTTCTTTTTTAATATGTACCCAAATGCATACACTCCACTCTTTTTGTTAGAATCACTAGGAATGGCAACGGGGCAGGTTTGGAGTGGGGATTACATTCCCCATCCTTGACCCTGACCCTCAAATCACCCCATCCCCGTCCCCGATCCTTGGTGGGGAAAAGAATCCCCCCTTCATCCCCAACCCTGACAGGGAATTCATCCCTGTCAGAGACCCGAATCCCCGACGAATTGGAGACAGAGTTTGAATCTCTGAGAGATTGAGAATGGGAGAGAGAGAGAGAGAGAGGACCATTGCGACTTGCGAGAGCTGAGGTTGGCAATGAGAAAGAATCCGAAGGGCGAGGCGATGACGGTTGGCGATGATGACGAAGGTTGAAGGAAGATTATAGAATTAAAACTCTTCTTTGAGTATCTCTTCTCTGTTCTCTGTTGAGACTCGAGTATCTTTGTCTGATTTCCGATGTCCAACAGCGATTGGTGAGTGGCGATAGTCAGCGATAGCGGTCGGTGGTCGGTGAATCGGCGATGAAGATGAACTGACAAAGGAAGACGAAGCTAGGGTTCTATTGAAGACTCGAAGTTGAAGGGTTTTACTATCGAGTCATCTTACTTTTCTTAAGTTTTAATCTTTTAAAAAACGAATAATAATTATTATAATATATATAATTATATTATATAATATATAATATTATATATTTATATATTAATCGGGGACGGGTCAGGGCGGGGATTGCTGAGTACCGGTCAGGGACGGGGAAAATTGCCACCCCTAAGAATCACACCGAAAAAACTCTTTTTGGTAGAAGCGTCAAAATTTATTTTTAGAACATTTCGGGAAGGTGGTTCCCATCGAATCCATTTTAAGGATTTCTTTGAGATTGATTCTCATTTTGCGATTCATCAATTAGCTCGTTTCACTTCCTCCGGCAGAGAAACTGATTGGAGGGCTACTGCGTTTGAACTTGAGCTGCTACAAAGAAGCAGCCCATATTGATTATCTGTGTTCCGGATGTTCATATTTTACGGCTTCTGATGTTTCCAACTTTCTATATGAGGCCCAGCTCGGAATGCGAGAAGCCTTCCCAAAAGTCTTCCCAAATGAGCACAGAGTTATTATCAAAGTTTGGATATATTGATCACAGTACATTCCTGGCCATGCTCATCAGCAGCATGTTGAAAATATGGGTGACCATAACACAACTGATATTTTATATTTGTGCCTGGACGAACGTGGCCATGGTCAGTAGATCGAAACTGGAACCGCTCACCATATCATAAATTCAAGAGGATATTCTTCACCTCTCACCCCGAAGCATCCTTCAGTTTTTCAGCTTATCTGGTGGTAGGCAAACTCTATGGCCCACAATATAATCACTCTATGTAAGAAATCCCCCCAAATGAGACTGGAACCGCTCTTCACGGAATATGCTTCACACCAATTTCATAATATATTTTAACTTCACATTGGAAACATTTTCCATACTTATATTTATTATTCACGAGAAGATGTTCCCGTACAGAATGTGGCTGTGAGGTCAGTTTGAAGCGCGGTCTGTTAAAAACAAACCCCAATGCCCAATCCTCCAAAATGCATGGATGATCCGGAACCGCTTTCTTTTTGTATTGGGTTGGGGAACTTTGTTTTTTCCAAGAGGTGGGCTAAAAGCATTTAAGCTCACGGTCGGCCTAAACCCAAACAATGTAATCTAGGGTAATTTTCATATATGCCCCTGTATCCCTGTATTTCACTTAACTACTTGAACATTATTTTCTGCCTGATTTCCACTTAAATTATCACAAGTTAAATAAATTAATACCTATATTAAATTTTATTGGGAAATTGACAGAAAATTCCTTTGTATACATCATGTGATATAAACAACTAGCAAGACACCTTATCAACTGGCACCTTGCTTAAGTTGTGACTTGTGAGCGGGAAGATCCCGCACAAAATAATTTAGGCCTCGTTTGATTTGCGATAATAGGGGTTTTGAATTGGAATTGGAATGGGTTATTTTAATTCCAATTGTTTGGTTAGACAGAATTATAATTTTATTTTTATTCATGTTGGATTGGCATTCTTCATTTGAGAGAATGACCATTTTTTGACCTTCTTTTGGGAATTAAATCTCATTCTTATTGGTTCAATTTTCATTTCCATTCCTGTTTGAATCAAACAGATTATAGGAATAAATCATTCTGATTTCGAGTCCGATTCCGATTCTAATTGTGAGTCAAACGGACCCTTAAGAGTATGTTTGGTTTACAGTCGGATTCGGTATCAGAATTAGAATCAGAATTGAAATTCTTTGGAATCAGATTTGAATAATCTATTCCCATAGTCTGATTGGTTCAAACAATAATTGGAATGGGATTTCATTTCCAAGGGAGGGGGAGGGAATGGCCATTCCCTCAAATGGGAAAACACCATTCCACTTGGAATGGTAATGTAGATGTATAAATTGGGTCAGCACAGCACGACACGACCTATATATTATTATTGCATATTAAACAATATTGTATACATCAAAATTTATATAAAATAAAATTTTAAGATCTTTTTTTTGTCATTTTTTAATTTATGTTAATTTTTTTTTCAAAATTTAAAAAAAAATGGCTTCATCTGATTTACACGCCTGACTCAAGGCTCAGGCCCATTGACCAGCTTGGCCCATGGCACAACACGGGTCGTGGGCCATGCCGGGCTGACCTCCCAAAGTATCCCAAGGGAGGGAACCACAGTCTGACTTGGCCCACACTTTGCATGGGCCACATGCGAGCCGTGTTGTACCGACCTAGCACGGCCCAATTTACACCTCTATGGGAATGGGATTCCGATTCCATTCAACCAAACAATTGGAATCAGAATGACCATTCCAAATTTCCAATTCCGATTCCAAACCCCTATTACAATGAAACAAACGGGACCTAAGTAGTGAAAGTGAAATTCCTCGATCATATAAGGAAATGTTCGAGAGAGTTCAATTTTGCCATGACACTGTCGTAGGTGGGGCTAAAATAGAAAATCATAACCTTAGATACAATGCAATGGCCCCACCAATAAATCGTTTGAATACATGATTGGTTTTGCTTTTGAAAACAAATACATATGCAACATCAGCAAAAACAATATAATTTTATTAATGTAGCGATTGTTTTTGTTTTCAAAAACAAAATCAATCCATATTGTTGATACCCCCTAAAAGGGTAGGAGTATATGGATTAGGCCACTAGCACACCGAGTAACTTTGCAGCCAAACATTTCTCTTGCTTACAATATGTATGGCGTTAGCACACAAATCTCACCCTTCACTTACCACATGTCAAGGTAGTGATCATTTCAGCCTGGCTTGGGCCTGAAAATTTCTGGCCCGGGCCTAGTCCAATATTTCAGACCCGGCCTAGTAATCAATTTGATGTAAATCTTTCCAATTTCCATCGATTGACTTTTTCATGGATAATCAATATAAATAATACATTAATTTTATCATGTATATTTACATGAATTATCATCAATTATCGTATAAAAATTTCGATCCACTAAAATTTGAAACTCATAATTGAATTTTCTATCGATTGAATTTTACCATCATGAATTTTCCACCGAAAACAAAGGCAGCTATTATATTTTGTAGGGAAATTTCTTGGTCAGTATCTTGTATTTTGGTTCGAGTGACAGTTTGATCCTTGAACTTTAAAATGCGACAATCTAGTATTCGAATTTTTGAAATGCGATAATTTAGTACATGTTATTAATCAACCGTTAAGTGGCATGTGAAAAGACACAAATGTCCTTCAAGTGATACCTAATTTTCTTTATCAACCATCGCAAAAAGACTTTGCCTTCCCATTTGAATCTGACGTGTGAGTAACACCACGACAACCACTGCACCAACCGCTGAACCAACTCTAGCACGTGCTCGTTGAACAATATACCTGAAACCTTTGGCGCCATGCCATGAGCGTTCACCACCCTCAACACCTTCACCCCCAACCTCTCCACCCGCACCTTGAAGCTCACATTCCCGACTCTCAGTCCCAAGAATGAGAAAACCATCTACTCCTAAGCCGAGTACTTGTAGAACCGGTACAGAAATGTTATTGTACCATTTACTGTGACACCGCTTGGTAGAATTGCCTGGATTGAAGAAGCTTAAGGCCAAGGCATCTCCTGCCAATACTAAAAATCTGATTCTCACTTATCATTTCCCCTTATTTAATCTGATGCAAGTTAGCAAAATCGATGACGAAAAGGAAACAATGACAGAACAGATCAGCCCACAAACAGTCTTTTGATATTAAGATATTATTTGTTCTATAGTTCTTTATTTTATTTTTCCATCTGGCCTTCCAAAACAGGGTTAAACCACAATTGTTATTGATTGAGAAAGCAAGGTCTGAGTTTGAGAAGAAAGAAGATAAAGTGAAGGCTTTAGAATTTTTGTCTTTTATAAAGAAGAGGATTCGCATGG